CATTGATGCCGTGTCGGGGGCCACCGGGTTAACAGAAACACCCAGTGACCTCTGACCGCAGTGACTGTTCTTTTTTCATGTCAGCCGTTGTTCGTTAATTACTTATTTGTTTATATATTTTTCAAATAAAATATGAATATAGAAGATTAGCTCGTCGGGACTTTGCTGGTACCTTACAGGGCTTTCCAAGGACATGGGAGAAACTGGGTATTAAAATGGAAGAAACTAGGCTGTAAATTTCTGCCCTTAGAAATGCGGGGTGTGGATGCTGCTGGAGAGAGGCAGATTTCGCCAGTAGGTGCCAGTGCGATTATGGGGAACTGTGTTTTCCAGGGGGTGGAAGCCTTCCTACAGCTCAGGACTGCATAAATCCAGGGGCGCGTTCTGCAGCACAACCCCACTTGTGTGAATGCCTTGAGTGGCCATAAAAAGCCCTTCCGATTGACCCGTGGCTGCTGGAAGCTTTTCAGACTGGTGTAGCTGGTACCTTTATTGGTTTCTTTCCCCCTGCAAATTGCAGACGTGTATTTGAGTAGAGGTGCATACCTCAAAGCTGCTTAACCGCAAAGTAAACCCAGTTGAAAACAGGCTTTTCGCAGTCCTGTTAGAAGTAATGCAGGGATCCCAGGAACTCGGTGTCCAGAGGCTGAAAGCCCTTTCTTGGTGACTCATGAGCAGTGTATTGCACTCAAACCCCTTGAAAATTCTGTTCATGATCACAGGAAATGAAGTTAAAACTAAAACCGGCAGAAAATGCAAAGCACAGCATTGCTCAGGGAGTGTTACGTCTTCATCGTTGTTGTTCTTGGCCCATGGATGATAGAGTATGCGATCGCTGCTCCGTAAGCTTTCAGATTGAGAAACTCATTAACAGTGTGAATGTAGCTTTGCCTCGCGGTGTATCTTGATCCAAGTTTCGAGTAGGGCTGTAGTCCTGGGCTTTGGGGTGGTCATGGTTTCCTTGCTGAGAAGTTTGGTCCTTGCAATATAAAGGTGTATCAGCTGGAGCTGGCTCAAGGCATCGCAGTGATGGAAACAAGGCAGCTAAAAGAGTCAAGCCACGCTTCTCCTGTGGTGGTAAGGTGAGAAGCAGAAGAGCAGAGGCCGTACCCTGAAGGAGTCAAGTGCCGCTCGTGGGACAGGGTAGAGCAGAGCCATCGAAGCTGTCAGGACCATGTGGGGATGCGGCTCCAGCATCCCAGTCCCTTCCCCAGCGACAGACACCAGGCCGTAGGCAGCCAGGCCGCGGGCTTTCTGCTGTCCCTAGCCATCGTGTCCCTTTTTTGTCCCAGCCAGAGGCTCTTTTCGGTGGCCAGGGACTCTTCTGGCAGCTGCAGGTCCCTATGGTGCAGGCAGGATCGACTTTGTAGGAGAAGAGAAGCAGAGTTAAGTGATGCCATCTACTGCCAGCGGTCCCAAAGGTGCTAAAGTAGTCTCTTGGCCAAACTATATCGTGGCGACACAGAGGGGAAAAAGAGATGCACATTCAAGCTGGTACAAAGGAGTGTGTGACACTTGCACTGTCAAAGTAGATGGATGTCTAAGTCTGCAGCATCCAGTAGTTTCTCAGCTGTTTCTTCAGAGAACATATTTATTATAAAAGTGGGTTGATTTGATTTGAATCTGATGGAGTTTTTTTGCAAGCTTTCAGGTGGCTTAACGCTGTTATAAAAATGTGCAAAGGGACACAGCATACTGAACAGGGAAAAAAAACCCCAACACCTGGTACCCTGCATTTTGCAGATTTTTTCCCCTTTAGATAGTTTTAAATAGAAAAAACATTTTTCAAATCAAGGATTATATATATATATATTTTTTTTATATTAAACCAGTGAAGTTTTAGTCAACTGAGAGAAAGAGGCGCTTGCAGCAGCAATTCACCTCACTGTAGAATAAGGGTCTGGGATAGGTGAGATTAATTTTCTTCTGAAGCTGGCTGCTTTCCACCATCATTACAAAAAGACCTAAGGGTGAATAGATTTTTGGTGTGCAAAACTAGGTAAGAGTAATGCTATCTTGTGCCATTCCAAAATACAGTTGGGTTAATGAAATTGTTGGGTGCTAATCTACAACCAATAAATGTCACGCACGCACACACACTCCCCTTTAGCTGGAGTGAAGAGATTAACAGTTGAGAGGAACAGTGAAGTGGGTTTTGGTGCCTTGATCTGGGGTGCCAATTTGTGTTGATTTAAAGGAACGTGCTTTTCAGAGAGTGTTCTTCCTTCTGAAAAACGAGGGGTATGACGATATCCCAGATTCGTCTCCCGAAAAACTGTTGGCCATCGATTGATTTGGAAGGTCTGGTCCTGCGTTGTGTGGTGTACAGAAGTCTCCGCAGCTGCATCGCCCGAAGCAAACAGATGGTTTCACCTGCAAGGTTTTGTCTCATGTAAAATTCATGTTCTGAATTGAGAGAGTGTTTAGGGTTTATTGTTCTGGGTGCCGCTTAGCGTGGTTATTAAAGCAGTAACAACCCCAAGCAAACACACCGGAAAAGTCATCCTCACCCAAGTGGTTTGAGGAATGCTTCCCGTCTTGGAGTGCGGAAGGAGTTAACTGAAAGATCAAAGCTGCAAAGTCTGCCAGGAACATGAAAACCCAATGGTGTGAGACACCATAAAAGGGTTAAAAATGATGATGTAAATCATGTGTGTTGGTTAAAACGCTGTGAAAGCGCAGACGGAACCTGGAGGTATAATAAATAATCTCTGAATACCTGAGAGCCTTGTGGCCTCTCTGTCATTAATCAGAAACCACAGACTGAGGGATTGGCTGGCAAAACATTAATCATTAAGCAATTAATTCCAACCGTGAAAACAAAACTTTGTGATTTCCTGAGTAGGTGGGATTGAAGGAGGCACGGCGTGTTTTTGCTTTTTCGCCGTGAAGGAAATAAAGAAGTGCCGAGGAGGCCACACGTTCGTCATTCAGATGGGGTGGAAAATCTCCTTTATTACCCAGTTCTTCCCTTTTTGTTTCTATGAATCAAGACGAGGGAAAATCACCGCGGGTTTTCCTAGGAAGCAGTAATGAGCCTCTTGAGCGTAAACCTTTCTAGATGTGTGACACTAACATAAAGGGGCTTTACTTCTTGTGTCTTATATGTTCTTCCAGTTCTCCATAAAAGCATGCTAGAAATAGCTTTTTATTCTTCTCAGCAGCATCACCAGCTGTAATAGTAGTCTTGTGAGACTCGGGATGTCTGTTTTTTTATCTTTTCCTCAAACCCCAGCTTCTAATCTTTTACCGATTACCTTAGGATCTTAGCTTTCCTTGCTTTTAGTATTCGTAGTTATGGAGAAACCTAAAAATGCAAATATTAAAAGCTGAATAATCCAAACACAAGAGGCGTGCAGTCGAAAATATGTACATACTGGTTTTAATTTTCTGCATGTCGTTTAATTTTGCAGATACTTTAGTTAGTTCAAGGGATCTAGATGGTATTTTTTTCTTATTTGGGGTTGGAAGTGCTGCTAGAACTGCCACTTGAATTTTTAAATCTGAGACGTGCACAGAAAGAAGAATCCAAGTCATGTCTTTCTCTCCATTACTGAATGGAAACCTGGCCCATCGAGGGCTCTGAGCACAACTTTACAACCAGCTTCAAGAGACCACCCTTCTGTGAAGTCCTCTTGGATGGGTGGTGAGGCGTGATATGATCAGAAGCTGCCAGGATAGTGACGGGGCCAAGGTGATTTGCCAAGTGCCACGTGAGAAGGTTGTGGCAGAAACCAAGAGTGGTTCTTTGGCCGGTACCGCTTAAATTTTTAAATCTGAAACGTGCAGAGAAAGAAGAATCCAAGTCATGTCTTTCTCTCCATTACTGAATGGAAACCTGGCCCATCGAGGGCTCTGAGCACAACTTTACAACCAGCTTCAAGAGACCACCCTTCTGTGAAGTCCTCTTGGATGGGTGGTGAGGCGTGATATGATCAGAAGCTGCCAGGATAGTGACGGGGCCAAGGTGATTTGCCAAGTGCCACGTGAGAAGGTTGTGGCAGAAACCAAGAGTGGTTCTTTGGCCGGTACCGAGCGCCTGGCCATCTGCCTTGCTAAGCTGTGGGCACAAATACTGGGGGAGCAGCTGTGGGAGCTGTTGCCTCTGCTCAGCGATAGCAGCAGGCAAGGGACCATGTTGCTGGGTTCTGAGGGATTATTCACAAGCTTCAGACACCCGTTTATTTTAAAAGTAGTCATTTTCACGACAGAATTCAGATGTCGCGTTCTCCGTGTGTAAAATGCATGGAAATACCTAGCCATGAGACATGCAAGCAAAGCTTTCGGCAAATTATGCATCACAATTTGTGCAGTGCACCTTTTCAGCTGTAAAGAGATGTCATCTTCTTCTCAGAGGCAGTGTATGGCAAAACGCAGTATCCATATTAATATGTTAATTAGTTAAAAGATTGCCATCCTCTTTAGAGATACAGTTCCTGCCATAGGTGTAATAAAAACCCCAAAGGTTAAAAGAAGTGTATTCAGTGTGAATAGTTTTGAGGACACGTTCAGCTGGGCAGAAGACAATATATACTGAGAAACAGAATGTTTTGTACGTGTCCATTACGTCAGTCTCGTTACAGAAGGCCAATTGCGACAGTCCCTAGCTAAGCAAACCAATTTGTGAGAGCAGAGTCTGTCCGGCACAGATGGCCTGAATTCATGTGTTGCTGCTGAGATTCTAACTGTGATTATTCTTCATTTCCTCCTCCTTCCCTCGACTTGTGAATTAGTCTCGTTTGAGGAGACAGGACGTCGGCTTGAAAAGCCACCTGGATCAGCTGGACCAGCGGATAAGTGAGCTGAAATTGGACGTCAGTAAGACCTCCAGCGAGTACCTGGATAGTGACAGCCGGCCCAGCTCAGGTAATGCGCACGTGGTGGGTTATTCGCAGGCATGTGGTGCAAGGAGAACTGGAGGGTGTCAACTGCTAAGCAAAACTTGCTGACCAAGGTATTGTTTGGTCAGAAGCAGAGCCCCATGGCTGAGGGGGAGAGTCCTCGTCTGGCACAGCACACGCTGTCAGGGCTGGTGGGAACATCTCCGCCAGGTTAAGTCAGTTGAAAATAGCTTATTCCCTGAAACAGTGGAGTTTTTTTGAATTTGGATTTTTTTTTTATTTTAAAATGGACATTTTAGCCACAAATGCACAGGGGAGGAGACAGATTTATTAATTAATTACCTTGTCCAGTGCAGAATGACCGTTGGCAAAGCGGCTAGAGTATTTACTAGAAGTGAAGGAGACCAACGTCCATGTCAATGCTCTGCTTGAATCCAAGAAGGGTCCTGAACCTCACTAAGGCTTTGAAGATCACTACCACTGCAGTGCTCTGGCCAAATGAATGTTGGATCATTTATATAAAAATGAAACAGCTCTGTTAGAAGACACTGAGATAAACCACCCCAACAGCTTGCTGACTGAAGCTCTCGTGGACAGAGAGACTGAGTTCCAGGTTTCTGATTCACAGAGCGAGCTGTACTGCAGACTTTTATAGCTAGGGTGTCTGTTAAAACCAGTTTCTCTTATCTAGTCTGGGACAAAGGGAACACTTCTTTTTAAACAGAATTTTGAAAAGCCTTAAGTCTTCAGTGAGACGAGGAAAGAATTTTTGTATTTTCAGCATACAGATTTGCAGCCAGGTATTATTACTGGGCAGAGCGGGTATAAAAAGTGTGAGTTTCTGTTGAGTGTTCAGGAGTTGTGCGCTTAGGAACATACAGTTCAAAAGCAGACAGCTTCCTTTTCTGTTTGTTTTATATAGAGGGGAATAATAAAAATGCCTATTTTTAATTTATACAGAGCTTTTTTTAAAACTTCCCTAGTTAATTGGCAATGATCACAAGACCTGGAGAGGGAAGACAGCCTCTGTTCTCTGCCCTTAGACATTCCAGCCATCATAGACTTGGCAGCTCTGATCGCAGGCTGATTTTACTCTACTTTCCCATCCAAGCAGTGCTTGTATCCACCTAGCACAAGTTACAACAGCCTAAGAACGGCCCTGTTTTACACCAGTTGCATAACAGTCCCCAAAGACGTTCTCCAGTGAAGAACTGGGTGTGATGGTGCTGCACTTCACCCCATCCCGCCCTCAGAACTAAGCATGCATGTGCGTGCCAAGCTGGCTCAGGGCCCAGGTAAATGTGCAGAAGCCCAATAAAAGATGGTTGAGTTACAGTATACTTCTGCTGAATTTACCCGAATAAATGATCATAAAGTTAGGCCTGTGGCACATTGCAAATTAAGGTTTATGCTATTCTCTGCATTTTTCTTCTACAGAGCATGTTTAGTTACTGTAAATAAGAAATACCTCCCAATTTATTTTAACTGCAGGCTTCTATGACCTGAGCGACGGTGGTTCTTGCTCACTCTCCAATTCTTGTACCTCTGTGTACAGCGAGTCCATCTCCTCCTCCCACGCCAGTCTCTTGCCCGGCTCTCAACACCCCAAAGCAAGGCTCAGTGTGTTTGATTACCGACCCAAGTCCGCGGATGAAACGACTGTGCACACCACCAGCTTCCAGCAGCAGGGGACCTATGGCAGCGACGGATGTCGGATTACAGCTGGCGCAGACATTGCTGGGACTCCTGCCAGGTCCCGGCCGAGGCCAGTTTCCACAGGTAGTCGGCTGCAGAACTGCCTTCAAGAGAAGGGCAGAATCCTGGTTATTATTTTACAACCTAATATACCAATGTGTAATCAATATATAGCACTCATTTTCAGTACACAAAGTGAGAATTAATTGAAACCAGAGAGCCAAACCATTTACTGTCCAACTTTCACTTGTCTCGTACTCAGATACTTTTAAACAATAATAAATACGAGGATGTATGCATTTAGAAATGGAAAAAATATTTAAGTGCATGAGATAAAATTGTGATGAATGTGGAGATACTTTTTTTTTAAATTTACCTGCTTGTGAAATCAGAAAAATTGCAGTGTTTGAAATACCTTGTGTGAAGGTGTGGGGATGTATGTAAAATATAAGGTGAATTCAAAATTAGAGATTATGCGTTTTACTGAGAAAGATTTTACAGAAATCTGAGGAGGAGGAGACACTTCCAGGCTTAGTGCCTGTTTTCTCAATCTGTTGTAAAATGAGTATGGTAATACTTGTATATACCTTGCCCTATTTATTCAAATTAATGTGGACTCAAATGATACTCCTTTTCATAGTTTATTAGCTACGGTTTATCTCTGTTATTAGGGATAACAGACACCAAAGGTTAACTGACTATCTAGGAACGAGTCATGAGCCTAGCAGTGGATCAGCCGTGAATTTGCACCATACCTTTAGACAAAATGGACAAGTCCGTTAATATTCCAGATCTCTTATTTACCCATCTGTGAAGGGACAGCATGTGACTTCTTATTTTGGGTGCTTCCGTGGCCTCAGAGCAACCTTGTGTTAGTGCAGTTCATGTGGTGACCTGGCCAGATGTGTGACAGTTCCATTATAGAATCAGGGAAGCCACGGGGAACGTTGTTTCAAGTACCGTGTCACTCTGGAGTCGTTCCCACAGCTTCTTGGCCTGAGCTAGCTCACCTCTGGCTTGCTTGGAGCAGAAACAAGACCACCCGCTCTGTGCCTATCTGTGCAGACACACCTGAAGTGGTGGTAAGTTAGAGCATAAAGGCTCCCAAGCATAAGTCCTCTCAAGGCTTCTCAGAGGCTGAGGATGGAGCTGGGCTTGGTGATCCGTGACTTCCATGTTCAGACTGCAGACTCTTGTTCTATCAGAAACTTTCCTGCCTTGCAACATTTTGCTAAGACCCCTGGGGCTTTATGTTTTTTTGGCTATGGAGATAGACGAGCAGAAAAAGGGATACCTGATGTTAAGCAGGGGTGCAGGAGTGAGGCTACGGACCTCCTTCAGCCCTCCTTCCTTTTCCCACCACCACCTCCCTTCTTCAACCTCTTGCTTTCTTCAGTGTCAGAAACGTAAGTGGTGGGCTCATCGTGGGTGTAGTCTTGAAGAAACAAGTCTTGCAAGGTTGTCCACATTGCAGGAACTGAGGCAAGATGTTACTTCAGAAGAGCATCATTTGGAGAGGGGAAGAAATGTCTCTTTTCCTCTCCTTAGCTTGTCCCCACAGGTAACTGCAGGCACAAACCGATTGCCTTTTCTTTCAGTGGCAAGCGGAAAGCTTGCCAAGACACCACAAGCACAGCGTTGTGTTGACACCTTCCTGGTTTGTTTGCACAAGAGCACGCCACTACACACTGCCAACAATTTCCTGAAGAATTTTCATTGTGAAAATACGTTGTTTGAGAAGTCATCACCCTAACCTTTGCCATAGCGGGTCTGTAAGTGCTTTAGGTAGGACACTGCAGACAAGGCTGAATTTTGAAGTCTTTCAAAAGCTTCCTGTCACAGGACAGAAATAGTCATTGCAAGTGAAAGATGCGGTTGGATTTGGTGGTTGGGTTTCCTGGTAGCAGGAAGCAGCCAGGAAATCAGCTAGCTCAGGGTGTGTTGGCACTGCGCTCTGCACTGTCATACAGAGAAATCCAAGCTAACCCCAGATGGTTCCAGCACTCTTAGTACCAGAGGTAGCACAGCACCATGGTGCTCGATGGGATGACTTGTCTGGATGGAACAGTCTTGCGTCACGCGAGAACACAGCCTGTCCTCTCAGCGCACAAGAGATGCTCCTGAGAGGAAGGTGCAGCACTCGAGTGTAACTTACAGCAATCTTGACAGTACTCCAGAATTTAGGAGATCTGAATTGGTGGCCATCGATGCCAGCTTCAGGGACTGAGCCTTGTGTCTGCCTGAGTAGTTACCCTCAGATTTTTTTTCTCTGTCAAAGGTTCTGTAGTCCCTTCTTCTATGTCCTTAATG